AGCCAGGCTTCAAATCCCAGTTTTGTCAGATTTTTCCTAGATGCTAACATGGGTAGGATTTGGGAAGGAAGGTAGGACCCAGGAAAGGGTGAAGGAGCAGGGTCATAGGTCAGCAGAGAACAAGGAACAAAGGAAGAAAGCTACCTCTTTTCCAAATATAACCATACAATGCCATCACCACCCTATCTTCCTCTCTATGCCCAGATGGCTTTTGTCCCCAGTGAAGAAGTCTCTAGCAACACCTCTGGGTGGAGTTATTGGCTAAACTGCCCTCTTTAGAGCCCACGAGAAGACAACTCCACTCTGGGAGTAAATTTTGGGGTCAGTAACATGACTCTATTTTGCACCCACAAAATGGGAAGCAGGTCCTAAAATAGTGCAAGAAGCTGGGGTTAGGTTGTGATGGGAGGATGAGCACTGATGCAGCCACGATGATTCAATGGGAAGCATGCCAGATTTGCAGTCACAGAAGCCGAGTCTGAACTCTGCCTCTGCTGGTTACCAAGTCACTGCATTCCTTTAGGCCTATTTCTTTATTCATGAGGTTAGTCTGCATAACCTTTAAGGTGCTTCCCATCTCTATGACCCTATAATCATTCCTTAGCGTTCATGGCATTGACTTACCTGAGATGCAGTGAGGGGTTAGATGAAGGGTTCAACGTCCCACCACCTTGACAATAACGGTGAGGCCCAGAGGCATTGATTTACCCAAGGTCCTGCAAGTTGCAAGTGGCCACAGGGGGGTGTGAATCCAGATTCTCTGACTCTTAATCAGGCCCAGGGTATTCCCCACTGCAAAACTTAAGCTAGGGCCACTGATGCCAAGAAAAATTACCCAGTCATTCACAGTGAACAGAAACCAGCAGGACTCCTAGTCTGGGTGGGACTCTGTAAGCCAAAATGTTTAATTAGGCAGGCTGGTCTATTTCACCCTATCCTGTATTATCAGCTTAAATTTTCCTGGAAAGGGGAAGGATCTGTCATTCTCAGCGGTGGAAGCACCAGGATTACGTCTTCTTTGCAGGAAACTAGGTCAGAATAATTGCACACAGCTGAAAGGTACTGAACTCATCGGGAGCAGGTGCCAACCTCAGAGAAACGTTCCTTTTTTCCCCCGACAGTGAAGGGCCCCATTTCCAGGAGTCCATAACATGACTGAAGAGACAGATTCAGAGACTCCAGTGATCTGGTCAAACCTCCTGACAAAACAACACTTGTCACAGAGGAGGCTCCGGTCTTGGAATCTGCTTCAGATACTTACTAGCTGTCAGACTCTAGGTCAGTTGTCTAACCTCTCTGGCTCTTACCTCATCTGTGAAAGGAAGAAGTTGGACCTCGGGTTTCTAAGGCCCCTTCCAGCTCTATGAGCCCTTATTTTACAAATGAAAAAGATAGAGCACAAATGTGTGAAGCAATTTGTTTACCCAGGACCCACAGTGACAGAAACAGGTGTTCTGATTCAGGAAAATGTGGATGTAGGATTCTCGGAGTCAGCAACTCTCATTTCTGCCAGTACCTGGCACATGATAAGCACTTAATAAATGTATAGTGATTGATTCTGACTCTGCTTTTAACCCTAATTCCATCCTTGCTTCAATATCTCACACACACATACATGCATTAAAAAAAAAGGTGACAACTAAAAAAAAAATCTTTTAATGAAAACTGTAAAAATTCTAATAAATTTCAAAAAGCAAGATATTCTTCAGGATATTTATGAAAGAACATTTGGTCCTTTTACAAAACAAAAAAAGCTCCCCTTTAATTTAAACCCATTTCTTATTTACATAGATTAAACATATCATTTATAGTTGCAAATTATATTGCACATTACAGAGTGAGAAGCACAACAGACCTGTATATTCCAACAAGTCGCCCCAGCCGTTTTCAATTCTCAGTTTTGCAAAAACAGATTTGCTTTTCTAGTGCATAATAAATAAAAATGTGCCCCATGTTTTGCTATTTAAAACACAAAAAACACCCTCCAAAATCCTTCCTCCCCACCTCTCTCACCTCTAAGAATCAAGAGTTGAGGCATGAGGCTGAATTGGGAAGTGCCATGGCTACCTGACATTTTACCAAATTCACGTTCGTTTCAAGTGTGGTCACTATTCAAGGCCTGCTCCATGGCCCCACTGGTGACCAGTGAATACCCAATTTGATATCATCTCAGTTGGCTTGCTTGTCACTTAAGAAATGGGTCACAGGACTGCCTGAACCTTTTACTTCTAGGAGGGCCCCTCAATTGCAAATCAGAGGCACAATGGTGGGAGTCAGAAGACTGGGGACAGAGGAGAGATGGTTATGGCAACCATGACAGGAGAACTCCTTGGACCTAGCAGCAGACTTTCAAACCTTCCAATTTAAAGAAAAAAAAAAGACACCCTGGAATGCTTAAGTGGAAAAGATGCAAGACATCAGGGTATGTGCATTCACAGCACAACATGAAGGAAGACTTTACAATTAACCAGTAACTGGAGCTGGGATGACAGGCAAGGCTACCCTACATCCTTCCCAACACCCAATCCTGTTGGGGGGGAAAAATCATTTATTGGTACTGTTAAACTATTTGTATTAAAGCATCCAAATTAAATAACCACTAAAACTTTCCTTCACATGGAACTGTATATATATTTCTTTAATCAGTTGTTTTTTGTGTGCATGTGTGGTTTATTTTAGAGAAGTCAGCTAAAGGTTTCAAAACACCTACATCCTAACGCACTGTCAAAACTAAGAGAATAAGGGAGGCCGCTATTTTAAGTAGTTTGGAGGCAGATGACAGCAGCAGGCCCCCAGGCAATATCTGATATTAGCAAAGTGTGACGGCACTGAGGGAAAGTCTGAAAGTGCAGCGGGCCCTAATGTAAGGTCAGTATACCTGCAAAGCTGGAAGACACCTTTAAAAAACAAAACTAAAAAAATTTTTTTCATCAAAAATTTGGAGTTCTGACTTTGGTCACGTTTCTGATATATAAGAACTGTACACTATGGGACTTTGGGCAGAGACATTTACAGAACACTTAGGATGACCAAGTGAAAAGACACACGGCCAGCGTGGAGACCGAGACTGTCTCATGTGTTAGTCATCAGCCATGCATGCTTAGTAGACTGCCCCCTGCTCCAGAGGTGACCAGCAACATTGCGTGCCGAACAATCAGCATCCCCATAAGCAGCTGACACACAATGACATCAGTCCTCTCTGTAGCCAAATCAGCAAGAAAATGTTCTCTCCCTGGCAATCACCTTCCTCCTGCCTTCTGAGAGCTCCCATCCTCTGATGACACAGTGAAGTAACAAGGTCAGTGACCATCACAAAGCTTGGGGCAGCATCATTTCTACTGACTTGTATTGGCACCGACCAAAATAGAAAAATGAAAACAAGTTTACCCACCCACACTCAAACCTCACTCATATTGCCTTTTTTTTAAAAAAGCCGTTAGAGATTTGATTCTGTCCTTCCTAAGGGCCAACCGATGACCCTCAGCACCACAACTGATGCCTTCCAGGATCAATATTTGGACCTACACCCCTAGCTAGGAAGGACATTTGGGCTTGGGTAGGGCTGGAACATGGGGTTTCCATGAAGCCACTGACTAATCCTCAATAATACTTATGTACAAAGGTGCAGTCCTGGGAGCGGTTTCAGGATTGGTACATTACGTCCCTGAGTTGTGTAAATAGCTCAGCAGAGAAATGGATCATGATGCCAGGCACAGATTCCAACACCAGGAGAAGAAAGGAGGTGTTAGACATGCGAGAATGGTGGGAAAGGAAGACATGCAGAACAGAGGACTGCAAGAGGATGTTACGTGGCTGTCTCCCCACTTTGTCATGGAAACCTGGGATGCAGCAGGGACAAACCCAGAAAGTTGGCTACTCCGGTTCTGCCTAGATAACACACACTGCCTGCTCCTCCTCCATGCCATAAAGGTTTTATCTTAAAGTTGGCTGGAGAAGGCAATGTGTGGGAGTAAAGGTGGAAAAGGAGGGAAGAGTTAACTATAGAAAGTCATGGAAGACTTTGGGTTTTTTTTAAAGCACAATATAATGAATGAATACTCTATCTACAAAGCAAATTAACTGCAGATAGTGATTCAGAACAGTATAAGGCTTTTGAAAATTAAACAGGGAAAAGAGCAATATTTTATGTTTTTGCTTTTTAAAAAAGTATATCCTATGTAGTGGCAAAGAGTTTTAAAATGAGCTGACAGGTTTCTGAACTACATTATTAAAAATATCCAAGAGCTGAATCTTATATCTAATTTAAGAAAACTTAAACACCTAAAACTAATAAAACTTACCGCCCCCCCCCCAAAAAAAGGAATGAAAAATTCCCCAGTTGGTTGATAA